TCCCCACTCACAGAACAGAGAGGGAGAGAGAGAGAGAGAGAGAGTTGAAAAGGGGAGGCTTTAAGAGCTGAGATGACAGTTGCAACATGGGAACCTAGTTAATCTCAAAAAAGGGTTCAGAGAGAAAAAAGAGAGCTTGCTAGAGCTCAGTTAATATCAGAAAAAGGTTGTGTTCTTGTGCCATTGGTGGGTTTTCTGAGCTTCCCTCTTGTTGTTCATGGAGTTGAAGAGACTGCACAGACTAAGGTTTACGATCAGCAAGCCCTGTCTTTTCTTCTTACTCTCAATTTCTGCCCTATTCACCACCATCAGCTCAAATACATGTCCAGGTAAACAATCAAATTTCCGACTTCAATTTCTCCTACTTTCAGCTACCACTATTCTGTCTAGCTAATCTCATTTCATAAGTCGCTCGTCCGTGTCTCTCTGAAATTTAACACATTTATCTACCTTGTGTTAAAATCCAGATAGCAGGTGTGCCTCGAAAGCTAAAGCTGGTACATATTTTCAGGTGGGTTGGTCCATTATATATATCTTATCTTTTACTTTCAAAATTAATGAGCATTTTTGCATCTTTATGCCATTTCTTTTTCCCATATGAATCACATCAATAACAAGTCTCTAACCTTGACCAAGTTTGACTCAATCTGTGTTTGATATAGACTGCATATGAGATTCAAAAGACAAATACAACAAAATAGAAACTATGTATCTTTTTATTATTTGATCAAGCCACCATGATGGGTGATAAGTAGCACACACTGAGGGCAGTGGTCCTCTTGATGTGGTCCATCCTCAGAAAAATGGTCTAGTAGTAGTAGGCTCAGTCAGCTAATAAGAAGCACACTGCACCACTGGCGCAATTTCGCACATAGCTTGGAAGAAACTACTTAGTTTCTTTTTTCTTCTGGTTTATTGTCCTCTTCTGAAAATTCTAACGCATCTCGGTAACTTGCGCCTGCTGTGCTCCGCGCCTAACCTGCAAACCATGTTCTATAGCCTGACTCCCGTGAACAAATTGTTCTTGGGGCCAGGCCAGGCGCACGTTAGCATTCATGAAGCTGCAATGACATGTGAGATATTGTGACCACACTCGGTGGTCAGTTCACAGTATTAAAAAACTAGGTGCGCAAAAGGGTTGGTGTTAATTGTGCTATAATTTCTAATTATTGGGAGATTAATTCTAATTTGGTCCAGGAATTTGGGAAGCAAAGTGGCAATTATATGGAGGGGAGGATCAATATGAGGGAGCAGAGGCTGAACATTCCTTTGAGCATGGCAAGGAGGTACTTGAGTGGACCTGGATCGTCGCCGCCTCGGTGCACATCCAAGTGTGGCAGGTGCACCCCGTGCAAGCCGGTTCACGTGCCGGTGCCGCCTGGGACGCCGGTGACGACAGAGTATTACCCGGAGGCTTGGAGGTGCAAATGTGGCAACAGGCTGTACATGCCATGAAAATATATGAATAATGATCATATCATGATTCATGCTTTATGATATTATTTTGTTTGTGTTACAACTAATGTCTCTACTTTCTAGCTGATCATGCTTATTGTTAATAAAAAAAAGGAATATTTATAGGACTTCAATTTGTGTAGAAAAATATATATACGTTAACAATTTGACCGAGTATATTGTATTATGATCGGTATGGAAAATATTGTGCCAAGCATTATTGTGGTTACATGATGCTTGAGAAGGAAATGGTTGTTGCTTCTTTCTACAGGTTGAAACCTCCTAAAGTGATGGTGCCTCAAATTGTGTTAATGGGTTAATTGATATTTCAAACAAATAGAAGTTTAATTTTATTGTACAACACTTTGAATATGGACCTCTAATATCAACTCATGCGTCACGTGGTCATACTAACATAATATTTTATCTCTTTTTTTTCTTCAAAAACTAAATAATAGAGACAGTACGAGTTCTAGGAACTCCTAACAAAATCATCATCAAAGATAGCCTCAACCCAGCTATGAATCTCATCATACTACCGTAATATTTTCTCCTTTTTGAGGCCAAACTAGATCAATTTCTACTCTAGACCTTTTTCTTTTTCTAGGCTTTGCTGCTTTAAATTTTGATCGAAACATGAAATTGGCTTTTAGCACAAATTCAGCATTTAACCATCTATTGTCAAAGAAGAATGAAAGGTATGGGCCTTTCTTGTGCAAGTGATGATTACGGGCCTTGTTTTCTTTTCCTTTGCTAAAATGGGCTCTGTTAAGAAGGAACAACCTTTTATTTGAATCTTTTTAATGGGCCATGGTCTTTATATCTAACATGTTTTCTTTTAAATATTAGGAAGAAAAATATCATTAAATTAATAGTCAGTTGATTATCGTATCATTAGCGTTAACTTTGAGTATGGACCTCTTCCTTCTTCCTTGTGACTCTGAAATTAGACATGGGTTTGAAAAGGAAGTGCTTGTATATATGTATATAATAATCCTTTTACTCACCACTTGATTTTCAAATTTCAAAGGGGCTAATTGCGTGTTATAGCGGCACAAAAATGTAGAGCATAGGAGCCACTTGTAATATCCCACATATACACGTGGACGGTGTGTAATCATATATAATATTAGTTTTCAAAAAGTCTATCTATACACATTACTTGACGTGGCGGTTTTGTTTATTTATTTATTTGGGTCAAAAATGGTTTCATTGACTTGGTGACCAACACGTCAATTTTCAATGTTACTAGTGAGGTGAGATGTTTGGCATACAATAATTGATAAACGAACCCCATGTTTTAAAGAGAAATTACAGTCTACCCAAAATTTGTTACTTCAATATAATATTTTATGTTAGAGCCGTGCTAGTATGATTGTCGATACGAACATTTAAACTGTTGATGCAAGTAAGTTTCACTTTCACAATGAATTTTTAAATATAATTATTCTGGTGTGAACAATTGATAGCGCGCGACTCAAATATTTAATTTGTGGAGCGGTTGGTGGACCAAACAAAAGGGATTTGGACAAAATTAGGGCTCAGCGTCGAAATCAAGTAAGAAGACAGTAGACGGGATACACAGGATTGATGGTGACGTAAGAAAGAACCACGAAGTTTCAAGAAATGTTTTCACTGTTCATGCAGCCCCTATTTTGCTCACGTGACGTGACTCATCTGGGAAATGAGGGCACGCGGCACGCGTATGGACTATCAACCACGACTGCCACAGCTTTGTTGGTTTTGGTACACTCACAGTCACTCACCTTCTACTTTTCGGGACTTTGTGAACAAGAAAATTTGTTGTGCACAGTGCAGTACGCCATGTCGTATAGTGAAGCCTTGTGTTTTTTCCTTGTTATTAAAAGCGGAATTCCAACTTAAGATATATTCTAATATTGAAAAAGAAATAACAATAAACTGAGTTTATTTAGGAGTCTTTTTGGAATAGTTAAAAGTGTTTTATAACTATCAAAAGCGCTTTTAATATTTAGTGGAAAAATATACAAGTGCTTTTAAGTCATAGAAGTGCTTTTTGAAGAAGCACTTGCTATACCTACTATGTGTTTCTTCAAAAAACACTCCACTCCAAGTGTTTTTCCGGTGAATGAAAAAAAAATATTAAATGATAGCACACAATAATTAAGCGAAAATCAAAATCTTAAATTCACTTAAACAATTACACATGTGACAAGATTTCTTCCCCTATCTCCTTTAGAAAATCTTAAATTGCTTGTGAGTTTGAGGGATGAGCCATGAGGAGATAGAATTTGCAAGTGAGTTTTGTTTCCAAGAAAAAGGACAAAAGCTAAAAGAAATGGATTGAATGAATTAAATTGTACTATAATTGTGAGATGTCAATGTCACACGATCGCCTGGCTCTCGTAGCTTAAATAATCCCTATCTGATATCAGTCACTTGGTTTCCTCGTTCCTTTTCTAAACCACATGTCTATCCATGACTTAATATTTTATGTGTCTCCAATTGCATGCCGTGCGTTTCAAAACTCAAGCTTGGCCCTCGGCCGTTCATTACTATATTGTTGGGGGCCCAATTCATTGACGCCTTCACATGCATATATGGTTCATGTTATTTATTAATATTTGATGCTACATTTGACTTGGAGATGCTCATGATTCACGAGGAATTACATTTTTACTTTAATGACTCATCAATTCGATTTAGGCACATGAGTTTTTACACACGGAGAAAAAATATGGTACAACTTTCAAAATTTGGGTCAAAAAAGTTGATGAGTAGGATGCATTGCTGTATAATGTCCGATTCGTCGCGTTTCTAAATTTGGGAAAATATTGATCGTGAATATATAATTAATTATTGGCCAAGTTTCTATATTAATATTCAGACTATATTCAAAGTAACCAACTGCGTGGCGTGTCAAGATCGACTAGTAAACTATAGAAAAAAGTCTCAATAATAACTTAATGAGAAAGCTCTAGTTCCAAACCTAACAGTCCAATCAATTTAACTATTGTGTGTTATTGCTACCACTAAATCGTCCCCCCATAAGCATCATGAACACACATCGTCATGCGTATAATACAATGTACATACGTATGCAATAAGTTTCCGTTGTTTATTTCCTTTATACTCTGTATTTTTAAGTCGTCAGGTTTAAATTCAAAACTCCTAACATGTTGGTCCATACAATTAAAAATTTGTTGACCTTAAACACCGCCCCAATTAATCTATAACTAATTTTTAGACATTTTGGTACCGACTTTGCAGTCCAATTTGTTACTCGATTAATTTAATATAATTTAATATATTATCACATCAGTTGCTCCTCGTCCTCACTATATAGTTGAAGTAGCAATTTATAGCAACCCCTCTAAGAGGAGAAATTCTCGAGTAAGGCGAATATTTTTCGAGGAGACTAGCATTACGTGTGATGTTTTTTTATATTTAAAATCTTATTGAATAATGTGAGAGTATACGAGACCGTTGGATTTACTGTGTGGATAACTTAATTCTTGATATCATATTAGAATGTGATTATCCAACCGAGAATCATTATCACAATGGATGAATAACGAAAATAGTGAAAATTTACTTTGCCTTATGACTTTAGTAAGTATTTTTTTAATATTCGAATCATGTTCAAACTCCTTCGAAGAAGGCTTTAATTGAACACCTAGAAAGTAGTATTTTCAAAGACCCCAAAAAAGAGAGTTAAGGTGGTGCAAAATTATGTTTCAAATTTTCCCAAGAAAAAAAAAACAAAAAAACAGAATGGGGAAAAGAAAAGAACGAAATGGAAAATCAAAATAATGGCTGGCTGCAAGTGCTCGCAAGATTATCTTTTCAATTGTATGAGAAGATAAGCCACTTTTCCATCAGCCAAACAAACCTCATCATCTTTCCCAAATGAAACTGATCACTCTCCCTTTTCCACTATCGTGCTCCTCAAATCCCACCCTCCTCCGCTTCAAATTCAAACCCCAATCATCTCTAAACCCAACTCTCGATTTCCCCAAATCCCAATCCCCACAAAACCCCACCAAATCCCCTGTTATAATCATAGGCGGCGGCCTCGCCGGACTCGCCGCGGCCACGCACCTAAACTCTCAAAACACTCCTTTCCTCCTTCTCGAAGCCTCCGACGCCGTCGGCGGCCGCGTTCGAACAGACGTCGTCGAAGGCTTCCTCCTAGACCGCGGCTTCCAAATCTTCATCACTGCCTACCCGGAAGCCCAGAACCTTCTCGACTACAATGCCCTCAATCTCCGCAAATTCTACTCAGGCGCCCGCATTTACTACGATGGTCGGTTCCACACCGTATCCGACCCGCTTCGCGATTTCTGGGCCTCCGTCAAGTCCCTGGCCAACCCAATCGGATCAATTCCAGATAAATTGCTCATCGGACTGACGAGATTTCGGGTCTTGACGAAATCGGACGAGGAGATTTTCTCTTCCGGGGAAGAAGTATCCACGATGGAGCTGCTGAGGAAAATCGGGTTTTCCGATTCGGTTATTGGCAGATTCTTTCAGCCGTTTTTCGGCGGCATTTTCTTCGATAAAGAGCTCGGGACGACGTCCAGGTTGTTCGACTTCATCTTCAAGTGTCTAGCCCTCGGCGACAACACGCTCCCAACCAACGGCATTGGTGCGATCCCCCAACAATTGGCGGAAAAATTGCCGTCCGGTTCCCTCGTTTTCAATTCCCGCGTCGTTTCAATTGATTTCGACGACGACGACGAGTCTTTGTCGTCGCCCAGCGTGAGACTGGCGAGTGGAGAGGTTTTGAAAAGCGAGCTCGGAGTGATAGTAGCAGTTGAACAACCTGAAGCGAATAAGCTTTTGGCGGGAAAGGTATACGAACCGGGTCGAATGAAACCGGGTAGAAGTACTGTTTGTTTGTATTTCACTGCAGACCGAGACAACATTCCAGTCAGCGACCCGGTTCTGTTTCTCAATGGATCGGGCAAGGGTATTGTGAATAATATGTTTTTCGCAACCAATGTGGCTCCTTCTTATGGCCCAGCAGATAAGGCTTTGGTATCAGTTTCGCTTGTCGGAGATTTTGAGGGCGTGGATGATGATGATCTGACGACACAAGTTGTTCGGGAGCTCTCGGATTGGTTTGGGAGTTCAATGGTGAGATCATGGAGGCACTTGAGAACGTATCGGATTAAATTTGCACAACCAAATCAATGTCCGCCGCTCAATTCAACGAGAGACCCTCGAGTCGGGTTGGGTGTGTATGTGTGTGGTGACCATTGGACCACTGCCACATTTGATGGCGCTTTGGTTTCGGGAAGGAGAGCGGCGGAAGCTTTACTTAGAGATAATGCCTTGAGTCGGGTTGATTAGGCTTATGATTTTCTCATTCCTTCTTTATTTGTTGAAAATTGTATATTCCGACTTCTCTTTTATCAACTTACACTTCATAAACCTATTATAATACTCAAATTCTCTTTTATTTTTTACGAAGAAATCAATGAGCACATCAATACATCATGGCATTATTGTGCTCACAAGTTGTTTGATATTGTTATGCGCTTCCATAATTTCAAAACAAAATAAAAATGGAGTCCTTTACAAAAACCATTATTGTGGTGAACGTTCAAAATTCTCATTGCAAATGGGGAACACAAAATAAGCCTTCATCATGGATATTTTGTTATACTTTCTTGCAACTGTCATACAAGATTTGTCCTTATGCCTGCCTATATGGTTACATACAATAATTATAACGGTGCTATTCTTGTTTAGGCAACCTCTTACCTCATTTTAACAGCGTCACTCTTTTAATAACCAAGTTTGATACATTACAAGCCACACAAATATCAACAACTCACGGCTTGTGAACAATTAATGCTAGCACAATCCTTATCAGTAAAAGATAAATGAATATTTTTACTTTTACTGTTTTTACTTACTAGTAAACAGGCTTTGTATAGTTTTACTGAAAACACCCACGTGCACGCTGTAGTTAACGTATAACACCGGGCGGCACCGACGTGTCAATATTCTAGCCACCGCCGTGTTGGTAACTCTCCAATCAACCCTATCTCTTTCGTCTGTCGAACTATGACAAAAGCAGCAGCATGTGGAAGCCATTCACTTCCATGCCCCTCCACAGATTAAAAAATAGTATTTGTATTTTAGTTTTAAAAAAATAAAAATAATTCAAACAAAAAACGATCTTTTGCTTATTTATTTATTTATTTATTTTTGGGCTTGCAATAATCACATAGTTAATTCTCTCCCGCGTATGATAATATCCTCCCCCTTTTAAAAGCCAAACGCCAACAAATTCAACCTCTACCGAAGCTTCTACCGAAAAACTCTCCATTTTTTTAAACCTCTCAAAACCTCCACCTTTTTCTCTAAATTTAAACTCCCATCCTCCTCCGACCAAAATCCCTAAATTCCGAACCCCCTTTCTCTCTCTATATCTCTGTCTCTCTCTCTCTCTCTCTTTCAACCAATCAAAACCCAAAAACCCTGACCGACCCTACACCCGGTTCGGTCTCTCCCCGGCATCCCACGATGCCAGAGATCGAACAGCAGCAGCAGCAGCCCCCGCAGGGGACTCCGCCACCGCCGCGCATCCCTGACAATGCCCTGTTCGGGAAATACGAGCTGGGCAAGCTCCTCGGCTGCGGCGCCTTCGCCAAAGTCTACCACGCGCGCAATGTCCGCACTGGCCAGAGCGTCGCCGTCAAGGTCATCAACAAGAAGAAGCTTTCCGGCACCAGCCTCATGTCCAACATCAAACGCGAGATCACTATCATGCGCCGCCTCCGCCACCCCAACATCGTCAAGCTCTACGAGGTCCTCGCCTCCAAGACCAAGATCTACTTCGTCATGGAGTTCGTCAAGGGCGGCGAGCTCTTCGCTAAGGTCTCAAAAGGCCGATTCTCAGAGAATCTCAGCCGTAAATACTTCCAGCAGCTCATCTCCGCCGTCGGTTACTGCCATTCCCGCGGGATCTACCACCGCGATTTGAAGCCCGAGAATTTGCTCGTCGACGAGAACGGGAATTTGAAGGTTTCGGATTTCGGGCTCAGCGCCGTGACGGACCAGATCCGACCCGACGGGCTCCTCCACACGCTTTGCGGGACCCCCGCTTACGTGGCGCCGGAGATTTTGACGAAGAAAGGCTACGATGGAGCGAAGGTGGATGTGTGGTCATGCGGCGTCATACTCTATGTGCTCAACGCTGGGTATCTGCCGTTCAACGACCCGAATCTGATGGCGATGTACAAGAAGATTTACAAAGGCGAGTTCCGGTGCCCGAAATGGATGTCGTCGGATCGGAAGCGGTTCTTGGGCCGCCTCATGGATACGAACCCGGCGACCCGGATCACGGTCGACGAGATCTTGAAGGACCCATGGTTCAGAAAAGGCGGGTACAAGGAGATCAAGTTCTACGACGAAGATTGCTCCATGGACAACAGCAAAATTGGAGGAGGCGATGAGGACCAGAAGGTCGTCACGAGCCTGAACGCGTTCGATTTGATATCGTTCTCGGCCGGACTGGACCTGTCCGGGCTGTTCGACGACCATTCGTACGGCGAGCGTTTCGTGTTGGAGGAGACGGTGGAGAAAGTGGTCGAGAGAGCGGAGGCGTTCGCGAAGGCCGAGGAATTGAGGGTGAGGAGGAAGAAAAAGTGGGGGTTGGAGATGGAGGGGCAGAATGGTAATTTGGCAATTGGGGTCGAGGTTTACAGATTGACTGAGAACCTCGTGGTGGTAGAGGCCAGGAGGACAGGTGGCGACGCTGGACCTTACAGGGAGATGTGGAAGAACAAGCTCAGGCCTCATCTGATGTGCCCAGATGATCACGAGATATCACCACCATTACCAACTCCTTCTTCTTCCTCTGCCGCTTCTTCGTCCTCGTCGCTTGCCCAGACGATTGACTGAACGTCGGTGACCCCAAACGACGGGTCGTTTTTTGGATGTAAATAAATAATTAATTCCATGGAAATGGGTTGGTTACAACTTACGGACCAAAAAAAAAACAAAAGAATTATGGTGGTGATGTGTTGTCGTGCTCGCGTTTGTTTGTACGGGGAGGGATTAATAAAAGAGATTACTAGACGATTTTGTAATCTGGGATATATATGGGATTAGATCAAAAGATTATAATAGTCAGTTCATAGACAATCGTACAAGATGTTGTACAGAAGACTGTGTAAGTGATGAGGAGGGCAACACCAACAGAGAATGAAGGGTTAGATTTAACTCTAATCTTACTCTGACTCTTTTTGCAATGCATCTTGTATAATTGTATTAATTCATTGTTTGTATTTTCAAAATATTCATGTCTTTCTTTGTTCATATTGATTTCAATTTTCTTCTCAAAATAAGGTATGTGAGTTAACGAGTTTTAACAACTAGTTCTTAGTCTAGTAGCATTTTCGTTTTTCAATTAAAGAAAAGATTTCAAGAGTTAGGTCAGGTCGAACTTGTAAGTTTAGTGTGAACTGTGGGGGATGATATGATGGAGTTATATCAATTATGGACCAGCATACCTAGAATTTTATTGAATTGGTCTGAGCTGCTGGCATCATAATCATATAATAATCGCATCAAAATAAATAAATAATCATATAACAAAAAAAGAAATAGGTTTGATGGTTAGCTTACCTGTGTTCTTAGAGGCAAAATGATTAAAATACACATGGAGTGGAAGTTTGTAGGCCAAGGCAATCACCGGTAGGTGAGGGTAAGGTAATAATGGTTAATGATTTGATTCAATTATTTGGTTCCAGACTAGACTGGTTCGAATATTTGCCAACTGCAAACATGTTACAGATTAGCTAATCTGCTGCATTATTTTATTGCATTGAAGTTGTTTTGTGCCCATTACTTTAATTATTAAGCCAGAAAGCAGCAATTATAGGTAATGATACAAGTAACGCCAAAGCAAAATGAAAGGCATCAATCAAGCAAAAGATTCGTTCATTTGGGACAGTGGAGTTGGGAGGAAGCTAGAGGCCTGTGAAGCAAATTGCTAGTCACACCAACCCAGAAAAGAACAACTAGTCTAGTTCGAGGACCAGCCAATTCCAACCTAATTGGGCCTTGATTAAAGCCTAGTTATCTCATGAGGATGTCCAGTCCATTAATCTAATACTATTCAACCCGGAGCCTGATTTGGAGGCCGCTTAGAGCAAGTCCACTCATGAAGGCTAAGGCAAGGGCTGGCACTATTCATGTGAATAGTGGCAGCCTTGCCTTTTTTGGTTCCACCCCAAAAGGCTAGGGCAAGGACAAATACTATTCACATGAGATATGAGGAGATGAATTTGTATAGAGTTTTTGGTGTGGGAAGTAAAGAATATGCCTAGGTATTTATTGAAAAAAATTCTTGAATTTTTGGTTTTTTTTTTCCTTTTTTTTGTTGATGACGTCATTATGACATCAGCATTGCATCATCCTGTCCAGGTAGTAGCTATTTATTGAAAAAAATTGTGGAATTTTTGGTTTTTTTTTTCCTTTTTTTTGTTGATGACGTCATTATGACATCAGCATTGCATCATCCTGTCCAGGTAGTAGCTCGGGTTGAACTTGCCTGGGCTCGTGGGACCCAGCTCTTGCCAGGGCTGGCCTTGTGCGCTGGAGGCGTTTTGGGCTAGCCTGGGGGGCCTTTAGCCCGGTTTGGTAGCAAGGCTAGACTTGCTCTTAGGCTCCAAATGCTCGTATAAAAGATTGCTCGTTTGGGACTGCTTCTTTAGAAAGCGCTTTTATTATAAAGTTGTTGAAAAATTCATAAAAAATCGAAGTGCTTTCTAAAGAAGCACATGGTAGGTGCTTCTCCAGAAAGTGCTTTTATGGCCCAGAAGCACTTATAAACTTTTCTACCAAATGCCGTCAGAAGCGTTTTTGGTTGTCAGAAAGCCCTTTTAGCCCTTCCAGAAGTACTCTCAAACGAGCCCTAAGGATTCGTTTGAAACCAATGGTGAACATATTAAGGCACAAGAAGGTGCAACTGCATCTCCCTTTGCCGGAAAAATCATTATAGGTGCTTCAAATTGCCCCTTTGCTCAACTGGTGTACATATTACCGTATTTAAGTAAATGTCTTTGTCCTTTTACTTTCATTTATTTTTATATTACTCCATTTACTTAAGTTTACAATGTAAAAAAGGAAGTACCCCCCATTTGAATTCAAATAAAAATACTAGAAAATCAAATTCCCACCAAATCAAAATATGAAAAATCGGTTTTATGGCATGTTTACTAATCAGGAATTGAATTCCACCTATAGAGAATTCATGCGTTTACTTCACATAAGGAATTGAAAAAGTAAGCGGGGTCCACACAAAATTAGGAATTGAATTCCTGATTTTGGAGGAATTCAATTACTGAATGGGAGGTGGTATTCTAATTACTGGAGAATTCACCCATTAGGAGTTCATCTTTTTTACCCATTATATCCTCACACAATTTTCAAAATTCCAAATACACCATCTACTTTAACCAAAAAATGAGGATATTTTAGTAATTAGTACCACTTATACCCCAATTTCTTATGGTTTAGTAAACAACTTCAATAGGAATTCGGAATCTAACTCCCCTCAATCCATATGGTTTAGTAAACAACTTCATTAGGAATCCGGAATCGAATTCTCCTCAATCCAACTCCTCCTCAATTCAATTCATCCTCAATTCAATTCCCCCTAATTCAATTCCGGATTAGTAAACATGCCATTAGAGTAAAATACGATTTAGGCTAAAAATGATGGCTCATTAAGTCAATATATACTTCATACTAAAATCCCATAAAATCAAGTTTTCTTATTTGATGTGTAAGGAATAAAGGCCGCCAAAAATTGTCTTGAGAAAATGATTATTCCAAAAAATCATTTTTCATACTTAGTCAATATTGCACCTTCGTTAAAAAATTTCTAGATCCGCCATTGTTTGGAACTGTTGTTGAAGATAATCACTTTTATGAGAAACATGTTGAAATTTTATTTCAAATTGAAATTCTGACCCAAAAAAATAAAGTAAGATAAATTTGAATTTACTTTCTAATGTTTGTTTTTTTTACATAGCAATATTCTAACTAATCTAATATACAACAAGGAGGATCGAAGTAGGGTGCAAAAGAGAGGACACGCTATCTTGGCTAACTAGCCTAACCCACATTTATGATATATTATATTTTCAAAGTTTATTAATGATCATAAATAAAATCCATACAATTTAATTTGTGAACTAGGGATTTTTTTTTTTTTTCCTTTTGATTTTCTTTATTCGTAACATTTATAACATCTTGAAGTTGTAATATTCCCAACAAAAAAAAAAAAAAGAAGTTGTAATATTAATTTTTGGGGTATATGATATCATATGTAAAAATAAATAAATAATATAGTAATTATTTTTTATCATAATAAAATTCGAATAAATGAGGACATAGTCACTCACCTCTTACTAGAGGGTTTAGGGTTTAAGGGTTGATATTTCTGAAGAAGCGATCCAATCCCAAGTTCACAATTAGTTTTTGCAGTGAGAACAGTGCCATTTTCAGAGCCTTCAGGCTTGCCGTCGACGTGAGGTTGAAAGGAGGAAGTCTGGTATGTCCCAAATGAAATTTGGAATTTGGAATTTCCTTTCATCTTAGCCAAATGAGCTTCTGGGCACATTTGGTATTGGAATATAATTCCTTGAAGGATATCCAAACTTTGAATTTGGCATTGTTAGGACCCTATGCATTCCCAAATCCTTGGAAACAAACAGAGCCTCTGTTTTTATTGCAAAGGACTTTCCTTTTCTGAAGATGATAATTTGTCAAAATTTATGCTGAAAATTATCCATTTTGATCCTTAAGTTTCAATTTCTACTGTGCCCAGTAGTTGTATAAGGCTCAGTTGAAAAGAGGTTTCAGTGTACTCTAAAATATGCATATGAAGAATTAGTATATTGGTTTTTTATTTTTTATCATATCAATCAAATACCTCTGGTTTGAAATGCTAATGGAAATGCAATGTATTGTTTGTTTGCCCATATGTTTTTATAGGTGGGTTTCAAATATCAGCTTGAATTTCAATATCTCCAGGTGGTGGTCTGGTCTGAAGTGTATGCCAAAAGGAGATTTGCCTTTTGATAGCCTGGTGGGTTGCTATTTTTCAGAATTCTGGGTTTTAGTGATTAGAGCATGTCTGCAGAGGCAAAACTAAGGTATAAGCTCAATAAGAAACTCAAAATACCTGTTGAAAATTCTAAGTTTTCCAATAATGGAAGAAAGAAGGCTGATAGTACTCTCTATGAGAGTGAGAAGGGTAAGAAGGAGAACCTTAAACTACGTGTAACTGGTAAAAAGTTTCATGCTACTGAAGAAGGGAGTCGGGGAGTTCTTGATAAAAGGGAAAAGTTTAATTCTGTGAATTCTGATAGGAGAAGGAAGAGAATCTATGGTGACCAGGATGCAGCTGGGGAGGCCATGCGTTATAGTAATTCAGAGGCACCTTATAGGAAGGCTTTATCTAGGAAAGGACAGAACCAAGTAAAGGATGGTTCTTTTGACAATGAAAAAAATGTCAGTAGATCTAAGTTGCGTCCTCGACCTACGTGGGGTTCTAATGGATTGCAGAGAACTGCTTTTGGAACAAAACGTTTTTCTCCTACAAGTCCAAAAGTTTCCAACAAAACCAAAATTAAGGATGATTTTGTAAATGAAAAGAACAACAGTAGATCTCCCTTGCATCATCGCTCTATTTGGGGTTCTAATGCATTAGAGAATGCAGCTTCTGAAACTAAATGTTTTTCTTCCAAGGATAGACGTGCAAAACAGGTTGATAATCAGGCTAGTGCACTGAAGAAGCATAACAAATTCAAGCCTGACTTGAGCAATGGTTTGGATCCAAGTCGTGAAAGTTCCCCGCATATTTCTTTTTCAAATTCTGCCAAGAGGAAACTGCGGGACAAGAAAATCTTGGATGAAGAATCACAGGTGATAGATGGTCAGCCAAAGAAGAGGAAGCGAATTCGATTAGATCCACATGATATCTCAAATAAACGATTTGATGATACCATTGTTATTAACGGTCAGTTTTTATCAATTACTTCTGTTTATTCAAATGTACTTGTTGTCTTTTGTTGGTCCCTTGAGTTTGTATTCTCCATCTTTAATAAGGATGTAGATGCTGTCTTTTGTAATATAAATCTCTCTTTGAGATAGTTGGAATTTGCAATGCAATTTTTCAACCAAATGTAGAAGTTTTGCACTTTTCTTACACCTTGTGTTTTTCATTTTTCCCAGAAAGCACAAAGGAGAAGGAAAAAGATGAGGAGGAAAAAGCTGAAATATCAAAAAATGCACAATTTCGTGCAATACAACCAAGTCCCTCAATCCTCAAATATGTGGAAGATAATGTAATTTGTATGCACTGGTCTTTTGATTTTGGGATATATGATTGTCAATTGTAGATTTCTATATATGCAGGTCTTCAAATGTTTTGGGTATATCTATTTTCTAGTTGTTCAATTCTTGGAATATGACTCTTGTTTATCATTTATTTGCAGTTGTTGGGTCGTAGACGCATGATAGAGCTGAGGAGGGCGGGATACAACACTGAGCTTTCTGCCCCATTGGATAATATTCCTTCCTCTACCAGCTCAGAAAGAGAGAGTATTGAGGAAAATGTATGTGTTCATATGTCTAGATAAGTATCTTTGTGTTTCTAATATTAAATATTTTTTTCGATGTCAATTATATTTTCAGAACAAGCTTAATTTAATCTAGTGTGAGGGCGGACCTCTCTTACTGTTTTATACGAAATCACATTAGTATTGACATTAACTACCTTTTACAGATATTTAAGAACAAATTGACATTTTTTGCCGCTGCAAAAGTTTCATCATCATTTCCACCTCCTGACCTTCCAGAGATTGCATTTGCAGGTGTGTTTAGTTTCTTTTATTTCATTGACGCAATCCGATTGATTTTTTTTAATTTACTTTTTGAGTACTTTACTTCCAATGTGATTTATGAGTTCATATATTGAGTGTGTTCAGTTTTCCATTACTGGTGGCGAAATAACATCTTTCATGTATTAGAAAAGTGGAAATGACTTATCCTAGGACCTAGAAGAGTTATAGTCAGTGGTTTCATCGCAACTTTATTTTGATAAGCATGTGATTACCTCAGGTTTTATAGTTGGGTTAGGCTTTTTCCCCAGAAACAAAAATTTAAAGTAAATTACGACGAACCTCTTCATCTCACTTTCGGGGAGAACTAGTTTGTATGCCTATGTTTGTTAATTCCTTATGGATGTGATGCAGGTCTATTGCTTCAGACGGGTTCAGAAAGTTTACTTAATTTTGCAGATGGAATCTTCTTACATGAGACAATAAGTAATGTTGTTGACTTCTATTGCCTTTTCAGGAAGGTCTAATGTTGGGAAATCATCACTACTTAATGCACTCACCAGACAATGGGGTGTTGTACGAACATCAGACAAGCCTGGTCTCACTCAGGTTATAAAATAGCCTTTGTTGCTTTCTTTGATTTCAGTAGCTGTTCAGTTTGCTGATGACAACTGTGCTTCTTTGCAGACTATTAATTTCTTCAATCTAGGATCAAAGCTCTCCTTGGTTGATTTGCCTGGATATGGTTTTGCTTATGCTAAAGAAGAAGTTAAGGATGCTTGGGTGGAGCTTGTGAGTATACAACTTTAACTTCTCCTTTGTTTTCTGGAGTGGAAATTAGTTAATTTATCAGATTTTTAGCATATCACTGGTGCTTATTTTCCTGTAAGTTTTGTTAAATGTGCCGATATAACTGCTTGCTTTGGCACTTCTAATAGGTAAAGGAGTATGTTTCCACAAGAGTTGGTCTAAAACGAGTGTGTTTACTTATTGATACAAAGTGGGGAATGAAGCCAAGGGATCATGAACTCATTGACTTGATGGAAAGGTACCAGTAGACACTCTTGTAAAACTACTATTTGGTTGCACAGTTTTTGTGGTAGAAGATAATACAGACCTCTTTATTATCTTCATGTTGTATATTTGCACACACACACACACACACACACACTTTTGTAAATGTGCATACTGGAACCATATGGCTTGTGCCTACGTTTTATGATGTTCATTGCTTGATTTACAGAGCTCAGACTAAATATCAGATTTTATTAACGAAGACAGATACGGTTTTCCCGATTGATGTGGCACGTCGTGCAATGCAAATTGAAGAGGTGAATGTGGCTTATTTATACTGCTAATAGATAGTATAAAAGTAGCATTTTCTTTAGCGAGACTAACCATTTTAATACAACATATTTGATTTTGCAGAGACTGAAAGCAAATAAGTCTTTGGTCCAACCTGCGGTATGGAATATACTTTTATTTGATCAGTTGATAGGCCAAAGCACACACTTTATCTGCATCATTGTTGAAAATGACGCAATTACTTCAATTGTGGTTCTTATTTCAGGTGATGGTGAGCTCGAAATCTGGAGCTGGCATACGAAGTTTAAGAACAGTGCTAGCGAAGATTGCTCGAGTGGCCAAAGTCTAATATGTAGCCGGGTAAATTTTTCTTCTTGGAATTTGTTTCCAGAACCTTTTGTTATGTCATACCCATAACTCTTAATGCAGGGTGCATTTCAGTTCTTTTTCCTTTTTCTATGTGAATCAATCTGTAATAGGTGGTTATTTATTTGCAGGCTGTGGCATACTTCTAGTATGATTGTTTTTGCTTGGCAAATGGCCTGCTCATCTGCAAGTTGAAAGTCTCAAATTCATAGAGATGCCTTTGGTGCAGATTTGTTCGCCTGCACAGATTGACCAGGACTCGGTTAGCCTGCCTGTCTCGGTTGGCAGGATGATAATGGTTGAAAGGTGACAAGTGAAATGTAATTGATTTTGTAAATTCTAGTTTATTTCTTTTTAAATTTTTTAAATTGAATGTCCTGTGGATTATAGGACCATTTCATCACAAACTTTTTTTTATTTAAATGATAGTGATAAAGGTGTTTTTTTAAATAGAAATTGACCTGTTCATTCTCAGTAGAAACCAAACTAACATGGAGATATTCTGAAGAATATTTCAATGGCTAGTGCAGGGACCACTAATTTGAGTATGTTTTCTGTGATGGCTATCTATTTTTTTTAAATTAATTTTTTTGTTAAATAAGATTCATGAGACTGATAAAAGAGTTTCTGGTTGATTGGAGTAAATTCATTATGAGACCGACCATTAATTAGGATTAACCATGAAATTGATCTGCTGACATCTTGGTCTCACATTGATGAAAATTCATTCGTTCATAAAATTGAAAGAAAAGACTAATATGGTCCAGAGAATCTGAATGATAGTGGGGTACCAATACACATCCACCATGGTGGACTTTCTATTGTATAGTGTTATCCGTGGGATAATGTATACAGAATAAATAAATAAAAATGAAAAGCCTTCACACCATTTGTTTGACAATCGCAGCCTGAGAAGCACTTTATATACATAATTTCAACTAGTTTATCTAATTGTATGGCAAAGCACTATACTAATATAAACAAAGAATTTTTGAAAGCGTGGTTGGCTTGTGTTGATAGATTCTGAGTTGTTTTGGTAGGAAAGTAGTATAGGGCATGAAAGTCTTACGCTCGATTGGTGCCTATAATTGGATTGAATTGTATAACTCAATATATTTAAGGCATGTTAAAAGAAGATGAAAAAATGTTATCTGTCGGTGGTAGAAGATACATTTTTCATAAAGAAAACTTATCCTATCCAATCCAACAAAATGGTAGAATATCACCATAGGCTATGTAAAAAATAAAAATAAAAAAGTCCCCTCAAATACTCCTTATTTCTAAATTTGTAATCTTTATCCTTAAAGTCATCTCCACGCAAACTAGTGGAGCTAAAAAAATAATTGAAAAATGAAATTGAGACATGTGTATGTGTGTGTGGAGGAGTTAGGTCAGATGCAATTATCTCATTGCATGGATCCAAAATTCCAAATTAAACTTGAATAGTTTAGTCATGACCTCATTTCCATAACCAAAATTGACAAATCTTCAACTGCACCCTTCCTACTCCCTCTCTTTTCATCTCTCCCACAAAAACTATACATTTCTCAATCATCTCTCTTTCTCTCTCTCTCTTCTCTGTTTATGTCTGAGATTGAGAAAGAGAAATGTGTCCCCTGAGACTGATTTTGATCTTCCTCTCAGCCACTCTGGCTGGCTTCTTCGTCCTCAGAAACCTCAAATCCGACCCCAAATTGGATACTCCGCACCATGAAGAACATGAGACCAACCACCACCACCACCAAAACCCCAACAACTCTCCTAACCGATTTTCCAAGGTTCCCAATCTATTTTCACCTTTAATTCTCATTCAAGTTTCGTTTTTGTCTTCTGGGTTTTTCTCTTTTTTAACAATTTGGCTGTTTTATGTGCTTGCAGGTTCGGTCAGCCATGGAATCAGGGTTCTGGACCATTGTGGACATGGGCAGCGGACGCTATCTCTGGAGGCATTTTGTCTCAGCGTCCCCAAAACCATCAAATTGATCTTCTTTGGGGCACTTGCTGTCGCTTATAATAACACACACGTCCAGGTTTGAGATTGACTATGGTGGCTTATCATATCATGTTGTTACATGTTAGTAACAAAGGTTCTTTTTGGTAAGAAAAGAATCTAAGATGTTGTAATTTTAGACCCAACTGAAATCCCAATGTTGTATGCTCTCTGAAAATGGCGCTGTAGCTGTAATTACCATTCAGCAACAATATCCATCCCATTGTATTGTAATATTGCTATTTCCATTATCTGGTTTTTGTATTAACTATCAAGTATTGAAGTGTGGTGTGGTTCTCTTACTGTGGAAATATTTCACAAGGTCAATATCCACCTCCCCATCTCACTGTATTTATGTGCTATATAAGCTAAGGCTCTCAACCTCTGGCTGCTTTTATACATTATACGTTTCCTTGTTAATGTTATTTATAACAAGAACATGCTATAAGAAATTCTCCTTTTTCTTTCAACAATGCTATCAGTGCAAACCATTTGAATGTACATTAATCGGTAAGAACAGATACTTCACTTGATGGTAATGAAAAGGCAAAGGAAGGTATATTATGAAATGCACATTTACAACGCCAAAGGTTGGGATCCACCAGTATTCACACCTATGGTTGCACGCACAAACATAAGTATCGTTTCTATGTCTCTGGTGAGGGATTTTGTATCTGTTTCTTGGTTAAGCGTAATGGTATTGTTGTTTGCCATGGCTGCTTTGTTTCTGTGCTTCGTTTCTGGTTCATTGAGTTTGGGATTTGAAACCCAGAGAATCTGTCTCTCATATACGGCTTAGTGCCGCTGTCGTATCCTGTGAACCAAAGTGATTGTGTTGCTTATTTGTGCTGGACTTCGTAAACTTCTTCTTGGTTGTTGACATGTGTTAGGGCATCTGCACGGGAGTGTTGTGATGCCTTTCATGTTAGTGCTTTGTTTCTGGCTAGTTAAGTTTGGGATTTGAAATCCAATATAGAAAATCTCTCTCATACACGCACACATGCATGTGCAGCCTATGTGGCCTAATGCCACTTTCGTATCCTGTGAACCAAAGTGATTGTATTGCTTAGTTGTGCTGGACTTTATAAACTTCATCTTGGTTGTTGACATGTGTTAGGACATTTGCAAGGGACTGTTGTGATGCCATTCATGTTACTTCTGTTTGAGATGTAATTCATATGTGGATTCTTAGTCTCTAGTAATGGTAGTTTCTTGTGCATCCTTGCTTGAAAATTTAGGCCAAGATTGTACATTTCTGATTTTCTGATTGTAGTCTGTTCCTTGTATGTGTTATCTTTTTCCATCATATGACCCTTCTATTCCATGTTATTGCTCTGGATTAATGCTTCTCTCCGATGTGTCCATGTTGCTTCACCTCAATTTTTGTAGCTGTTGTTCCCTCAGTTGAATTTTTTTTTTTTTTTTGAAAATAGGAAAAATTCATGTCTTTTTTCAGTGAGCTCTTTCAATCTTCAAGTTTCCATGAGGTAGGAGCATTTGATTTGAGATCATTTGAAAGTTGAATGCTTAGAGTTTCATATTCTCATAGTGTTTTGCCAATAAGTTATCACACATATCAATAGAGTCGGCTCCTTCTTTTGTAATCTCTGTTTCATCATTATTACAATCATATAATGTTGTAGTTATCTGATGTTTCTTCATTTTCATTACAAAACTGGACATCTTTCATGTGAAAGTTCCGATTCTTTTTATTTGTTTTGACAAGTTTAAGAACATGAACAACTAAGTGTACACAACAAACTTCAGGATAATTTTCAACCTACTTTAAGCTTACCGATAGAGAATGAACTTTGAATTCGTAACCACTAACATGGGGTCGTGTTTTGCATCTTGAAGTCTAGCCGCTGGATATAAGGTTAGCTTGGAAATTACTGTATGGTGTCTTAGGATTTGGATTAACTGGAATTCAGTTTCTGTAAATCGTAAAGCATGTGAACAAATTGAAAGTTGTATCCTGGCGTTGTAGCAAACTCACGATCGACTTGATATTGATGTTTGTATTTACATTCCAAGAGTAGCTCAGTGCCCACTAGTCTATATGTATATGGTACTCAAGTGCTTTCTTATTTTTGTTTCCTTATAATTCTCATCAGACTATAGTAACTCACCTGATCTTCAATACTCAAGCTCCAAACACCATAATTTGGCAATGTAATTAAAGCCTTAATCGTTACGGCATGTTGGGTTGCTACAACCAACATGGAATCACTCACCTGATCTTCTTTGATTGGTTGGATGTCGAGGAATCGACAATGGGACCTGTATACATCTCCGGTTAAAAATCACTCACGCGCATTTTCACCTGTTATCAATTATGGACCATCCCATATTCAAATGATCCATCCACAGTTTGATCGACATCCGTTAACTCCCTTCACCAAATTCAAAATGATGCTTATTTGTAATGCATGATTTAAAATAGAAGTCAGGTAATATAAGATAAGTGGGTTCCTGTAGAATCTATTATCTGACAGAAAGAAAATCAAACCTCCTCCAAACCCAGATCAAGAAATATGGGATAAATAAGATAACGAAAAAAATATATTATTTTACTTGACACAATCTTTTGGTAGATAAAGAAACAGCCGGCCACGTGGCAAAAACATGGGTACTCTTTAAGTACCACCACAAGATCCTGACCGTAGAAAACCGAATCTGAGGCGCAGAGTTCAAACATTGAAAAGGGTAAATAAAATATATTCCAACGGTCGAATTGGATTCACCCCATTTTAATAGGATACGCCTGTCTGTCTGTGCGAGAGAGAGAGAGAAATGAGGCAGAGAAGAAAGATTGGATCAGAAATCCCAGAAACCCTAATCGTGGAGGAGAAAGAAGCAGAAGAAGGACGATTCTTCGCATGCTATCTGTTGACCTCTCGCAGCCCCCGCTACAAAGGCCACACCTATATTGGGTACCTTCCATCTTCCCCCAATTCTTTTCTTTCTTTCTTTTTTTTTTTTCAAATTCTCAATCTGTTCAGAATAACCAGATCAATCTTGATTTGAACATTCGATCCGAACTTCTTTAAAGTTTGAGATTTTCTGTTAGAGCTTGGATTAATAAGAGAGCCCACTTTAACTCTATGTCTTTGTGTGTGTTTCTTTGGGTGATGCTGATACAGATTCACAGTGAACCCACGGCGTCGTATAAGACAGCACAATGGTGAAATAGGGCAAGGTGCTTGGAGAACGAAGCGGAAGCGTCCATGGGAGATGGTCTTGTGCATCTATGGTTTCCCAACTAACGTTTCTGCTCTCCAGGTCTCTTCATTTCTTCCTTTTTTGCCTCTTTACAATTACTTGTCTATGCATTGCTCCGTATGATCTGTCTATGTTTTTAATTTGATTGATTGGGATCAAATTAGATACAAATTTCTTGAGAATTATATTCTGATAATTATGTCATTTGAGGATATTTCCAGCTTGGTTGGGTTGGGACCCATCTTGAGTTGGCACCAATTCTAGGATCACTTTGGACCTGGTTAAAATTTGATTAATTGGGATTGAAGGTTTTCATTATTATTTTAGGATTGATATTAATTGGAAATTTGGGACCATCTTTCTAATATTCCCTTTGGAACTTTGCAGTTTGAATGGGCATGGCAGAACCCAACTGTATCAAAGGCAGTTAGGCAGGCTGCTGCAAGCTTTAAATCCCTTGGGGGGCTTGTCAGTAAGATCAAACTCGCATACACCATGCTCACCCTCCCTCCTTGGCAGAGGTATCATCTTATTATCTTCCTTTTGAGTTGTGAATGGATGAATATACATATGCTTTTGCTCTTATTGATGGAAAGTGATATTGTTTGTATGTATCATCAGCTTGAACATCACTGTAAACTTCTTTTCAACCCAGTACACCAAACATTCTGCTGGTTGTCCACGCCTTCCGGAACAGATGAAGGTCAAAGTCTGCTCCATGGATGAGCTTCTTTCATGTACTAAACTATCTGATGACCTTTTGGAAAATGAAGATGAGTGGTGTAATGAAAGGGAATTTGATGAAGATATGAATACCAGTACACTACACGATGAAACAATATCGGACTTCATGGGTCATAATTCAGCAGATAATCAGCAGAGTGATAGTGGCAATAGAATGAATGAAGTATATGGATGCAGTAAAGAAGTAGGAGAAGATGAGTGGTATAATGGAAGAGAATGTGATGAAGCTATGAATGATGGTACATTACAGGAAGAAACATTATCTGATCTTATAGTTCAAAGTTCAGCGGATGATCAGCAGGATAATACCAGCAAGACAATTAACAAAGCACATCGAGGCAGTCAAGAAGTAGGAGAGGATTGTACAGAGCAATTTGGTTTGATCGCATCGCCAGTGAGAACACCATCTTCAAATGTCACTACCTCATTTGACACAGAAGTAACTAAAGATATAGGATCTGCTGATGCCATTAGTGTTAAATTGGGTCGACCTGCAATGGAACAATTGACAACTATAGTTGCAGACCACCAGTCGCCCAGCAGAAGCTATCTCCGGCCTTGTGGAGCTGAGGTAATAGATTTGACAACCCCAGCTCCCCTATGCAGAAGCCATTTATGTGGCAAGAAGAGAGTTGCTCCTGTTTATCCTCAGATTATTGACTTGACTAAGTCTCCCAATTTCATCCAACTATAGAAGGACTTGGACATGTATACTACAACAACCAAACCAAACAAGTTTATATATGTTTGATGATTTTATGGTTTGGTCGAATAATTTAGAGGAATTTATTGTCATCTTTGCCTGATGGCACATTGTAATCACAATAGTAATAGCCTTCTGGTTCAAGTCTTACAGTTTGAATGAAATAAAAGATCTTTTTTTCCTCACTAGCTGCATTTCATTCTGTTATTGTATATCGCATTTCATCTGGTCTATGAATTATGAGACTGGAAGATGAGCTGTGTTGCTAATTCTTTGTTGACATACTGGTGTTTCCAAGTTAATTAGACCGATTTTAAGTTACAACTAGCTAGCAAGCACCTTTTTTTTCTTTTGTCCAAACTAAAAGAAAAATCCGAACATATAAAAAGTTATCAAGTATAATTCAAGAGGCAGCTCTAATATTTGGTCAAACTAACAAAGTAAGAGTAAATTTTCTGGACAAATAGAATCAGTTCATTGATATGAATACTTTGTAACTCACAAGGTAGACAATTAAAGAAACTAAAGCCGATCAAAATTGTGGTACAAGTATATTCAATACTCAGTTCTCTGCATTACATACAGTGAAAATTAGACAACTACAACCATCACTTGTAGAATGAATGTCTTATATACCAGCCAGGAGCTCATCCATTAACGATTGGGACCAGTTACAGTAGCGGATGTCGACTAATGATTGGTTGTCCACATCTCAATGTTAGTTGGGTTACAAGCTTCCACTACTTGGGTTTCACCAATGTCGAAGGTAGTCAGATCAACATCCTCAGATACCACAAGATCAGCACCAGTTACACAGTTGGCTAATGATTGGTTGCCCACATTCTCAAAGTTACTTAGGTTGCAGACTTCCTCTACTTGGGTTTCATCAATGTCGAAGGTAGTCGGATAAAAAACATCATAAGAAACCACATAATTCTCAAAGTTACTTGGGCTGCAAGCTTCCTCTACTTGGGTTTCACCAAGTAGTTGTTCAACGTTAAAGATAGTATGCTCCTCAAAGAATGTCGAATCCATCGGATCAACATCATAAGAGCACACAAGATCACTACCAGTTAGACTAGAATAGCAGCCTTGTTGTACATGTGATGATGATTCTATTGATCCCTTTTGATTATCTTTTTTCATCTTTTTGTTTGTGCTCATCTTCTTTTGTTCTTGATCTTGTAATGAACGCTTTAAATTTGTTTCCTTAACCCTGACCCTATCGTTCTTCCTCATCCGACAAATCACGAAATCGAAATTGTAACTATGATCAGTGTAGTTATTCTTAGGACCAACAAAAAGGCTATAGTCATCTAATAACCATGTTGTGTGCTCCTCTGTACCTTGATTCTCCTATTGAAATTTTCGTTTTCGTCCAATGGCGTTAGAGTTTCCATTGGCCTCAACTTGTTTGGAGGATTTTGTTTCGCTCCAAGTACCGCTGTGCCCAACGCTGCAATCCATGCGCTTCGAGGTTAACCTCTTGAGCTCGGAGAAGAAATACAAGTTTTCATCAACAAGTTGAGGCCTTCCGTACTCTTTCCAAAGCTCCGACAACTCTGAATTGTTGTCGAAGAGATTGCACTCATGGATGACGTTGTGTTATGACAGCGTTAACAGTTGTCTCTCTAGCAACAACTTCTGGAGAAAGAAACCCACAAGCTCTTGATCAATGGGGTGGAAGCGGAAACCAAACATTGCTTGCTGCTGCTAATTAACAAACACAAGAGAAGAGAAGTTCTTGTTTCTCTTTTTATGTGTTGCTGAAGTTTTGGTGCGGATGGAGAGCAATAGATCTCACTGGTATTTATAAGCAGTGTGCTAGTCTAAATAGTTAGTAGTATTGTGCTACTTCCTTCTTTGTTTTATATGTTTTTTTTTCCTTTTTGAAAGGGAAGATATATATTGGTGAAAATTAGTATTAATAATTTAATTATTAATTAAGATAAAGCTCTAGAGGCTAAAATTAACCACATAAAGATTTTATACTAAACTTTTCAATTTTTGTTGTTGTACGCATCATTTTTATTTTCAAATGTTGTTGTACTCGTATCCAAGGTTGTTGTAATTTAAGGCTTCGAAGTTCTCAAATATTAGCTAGTTTAATATAGATGTAAAAAAGATATGAAAAATAAATGCAGAAGCTCCCTTAATAAAAATAGATAAGAAAATACATGACTACAAGAACATCGAAAAAGACATTTGGAATTCGAATCTTTGTGACCATGTACATACAAGAACAGCAACAAATTTATTAAGACAGTCATGACACTCCCAAGGACAAACACAAAGTTGAAACTTTTGCAGACTGAAATGTACAAATAAACATAAGATACCATGGGAAAGCTGGCAATTTGTTACTATTCTGGCTGATGCTGTTGTAGTTGTTCTTCTTGTGGCTGCAGTTGCAGTTGTTGTTGTTGTTGTTGTTGTTGCTGCTGCTCCTGCAGCTGTTGCTCTTCCTCACCTTGCCAAACCCAGACTATATCTTGCAGAGCAGGCCTTATGTCCTCCAGCATCTTCTGGTATTCCAATGTATCTCCATTTGATTTCTTCAACTCAACCAGATGAAAAGTTGGAGTAATCTGAAATATCTCTGCATCTATGGACAAAATCCCCATTCTACCTTCCTTCAGTGCATCCATTTTCAACAATCCATCATCCTTCTTCTTCACTTTGAGCTTCAGATACTTAGCCATTTCTTCCAACTTTGAGAGGATGACTGGGCCAGGTTGTCTGGAAGTGAATCTTGCTTCTCTGTTGAGAGAATCTTTTTCGAACAAGCCAGACAGATCAAAACCAGCAGAAAGGGAGATAATATCAAAAGCATTCAAGTTTGGAGGTCTCACAGGTTCTTGCTTTGCCTTAGCAGCCAAACTACTATTCTCAGAGGGACCAGAAGCTTCTGCACTTATTGGAGCCACATCCTTGTTTTCTATTTCAGATTTCATATTTTTGGAGTTTGTTCCCTTTCTGAACCAAGAACTCTCCTTAACTTTGGCTAAGGAAACCCTAGTATTGGGATTTGGATCCAACATCTTATACAGTAGCCTACGTGCTTCTGGTGAGAACCAATTAGGGCATCTGAATTCTGCTTTGCCAATCTTCCTGTACATCTCCATCAAATTTGGATCATGAAACGGGAGATAACCTGCCAATAAGACATACAAGACCACCCCACAAGACCAAATATCAGCTTTCACACCATCATAGCCTCTCCTGTTAATAACTTCGGGAGCAACATAGGCAGGAGTACCACAGGTGGTATGAAGCAGACCATCTTGGCGCTTGCTTTCAGCGAGGGCACTTAACCCGAAATCAGAGATTTTTAAGTTATCATTCTCATCTAGCAATAAGTTCTCTGGCTTTATATCCCGATGATAGACACCCCTACTGTGACAGAAATCAAGTGCATTGATTAGCTGCTGAAAATATTTCCTTGCAACATCCTCCTTCAGTTTTCCTTTAGCAACCTTGTTAAATAGCTCACCGCCTTTAGCATATTCAATGACAAAGTATATCTTAGTTTTGGTGGCCATGACCTCATAAAGGTGTATAATGTTAGGGTGCCTAACCAGTCTCATAACAGATATTTCTCTCTTGATCTGATCCATCAGCCCAACCTTCATAATCTTATCTTTGTCAATAACCTTAATGGCCACACCCTGATTAGTTATCAAGCTCCTTGCATAGAAAACCTTGGCAAAAGTGCCTTGACCTAGTACTCTCCCCAACTCGTATCTTTGCATCAGCACATTTGATTTATTCTCCATTCCAACCTAAAAAAGCTAATAAACAACAAACACACAACTTCCCCCCTGCTAATATGATCTAATGATCCACAATCTAGAGAGCAGGAGTTTATATGATACAAGAAGCTCAACCGTCCTCACAATGGTCATGCATTAACACAACCGGCACTGCATACATATTTGCTGGCCCAACTCGCTTTTGGGAACCAAGAGCAAACCAATTGTGATTTATAGGTCCAGCACCAGCAAGAATCAAGGACAGTTCTATTATAGACACAACCTCAAGGAAGGCAGAGTCGTGAGCGCTCAGGCACATCTTTCAGCATTCCCAGGATTTTTACTTCCAAAAGAATGTTCAAATTATGCACACAAACACTAACTCAATGCTCTTTGAACAAAATACTGAAAATTTAGCACAAATTTGCGGCTTAAAGCCTTTGAACCCTGAAAAAGCACAAACAGCACCGCCATCAAAACACAAAAAAGCAACCCTTCTCACATCTCCGGAAATTAAAACCAACCCTTGGGAACAATTACACGTAGTGACTCATAATAAGCTCTAATTGAAGGAAAAAAAATTGAAATCACATAAAGCTTCAAAGTTAATTCCATTTTTTGATTTCAAGAAATTAAAAAACCCACCCGATTAAGCAGAGGAGCCAGAAAAAAGTACAAAGGAACAGATCTTAATGAAAAAAACTAGCTAACTCTTGTATTTGCGCAAATCAGCATCAAATGTTAAGGTTGTTAACTGAAAATTACAATTCCTTGATGTTTCAATCAACTCATAAATAACATAAACAAATTTAAAAGGGAACGAAAATAAAATAAAATGAAAGTCGGAAACCATACCTTCTGGTAGACGAAGATGCTCCTGTGAGTATGGATCCCCAAAACCAGAGGCCGAACACAGAGAGAGAGAGAGAGAGAGAGAGAAGTTGGTTGGTGCTCAAATTTAAAAAATTTACGCGTAAATTGAGAGAGAGAGAGAGAAGTTGAAGTTGGTGCTCAAATTTAAAAAATTTACGCGTAAATTAACTTTATATAATATATTTACCTGGTTTGACCAAAAAAATAAAAAGAAGTATATTACCAGGACGGCCACAAACCAGATACACAATCTGTGGGCCAGGCGTTGACGTGTGAACCCACGCGATGCGAGAAAAACAAGTTCGAGTGTGTGCCTGCTCACACTAACATTCCTAGTCTAGTTCCTTCTTTTTTGTTTTTTTGGGAAGATTTTTTGTTTAGGATCTAAATTTAGAACAAGCATAGCTACTCTTGAGTAATGCCTAAAGAAATCATATTTTTAGGTTGTATTAGCTGGCTATATAATCTAGTCAGCTAATATAATTATCTAATAGATGACATTGATCTATTCATATAGAA